CTCCTCCTCCCCCGCCTCCTCCTCCTCCTCCTCCCCCCGTTCCTCCTCCAGCTCCGCCACTCCCTGCGCTGCTCGGCTGCTGGTGGCTGGCCATCTCTGCCATCCTCCTCTCCATCTGCTCCAAGCGCTCCAGGATAGACATTCTGAACTGGTTATCTAGGCAAACAGTGGGACAGAAGAAGAACACGTCAGCACACAAGTAGCATCCAGTGTGGGGGAAAAAAAATGTCTGTGTTTGCTAGTACCAGCACAAACAGCCCTGTATCCTGACAAGACAAATGATCACACAGTATGCACCACAAGCTGCACCAATATGTTGCACTGAGGAGCATTAAGGCTGTCGCAGTGACTTGGTGCTTAACATCAAAGAGGCATATGATCAACCGTTTAAGAACAAATGCTGAGGTCTACTTTTGAAAAATGATGAAACTGGGGGAAAGTTAATTAGTTCTAGCTATAACACACAAAAAGCTTATAATCATTATTTATCTCTCCAGAATGTGAGTGAAAACAATAGCATCAATCATTAACTTCCTCAAAACAATTGGCTTTGCTAAAATAATCTTTAAAGCCTATCAATCATTTGCTAATGGCTCCCATCACTGAGCTCCTGCCGCCATCTTTCTCACAGCACTCAAACAAAGATCCAGCAGACTAAAACAGGTTGAAAGATTGGCCAATGAGTGGGGGCATGTTAAATGTGTCCGCCCTTTCACGCAGGGCTTCAGACAAGCTCTGAAGGCCTTCTCCAGCTGAGTAAGTACAGCCTATTATGGCCACAGAGTCTCAGTCCATGCTTCTTCCAAGCGCCTGTACGGTAGGAGGAGTGAGAAGCTGACAGTATAGAATCAATCACAACTTGCACCTATCCAGAGTCCTTGAAAATCCAGCCTTTCCATACATCATGACAGATGGAGGTGCATTAGACTTGAGACTGTTTACATGCTGTTTAGGAGGCAACTTTGTACCCTGCGTCCGTGAGAGTGGTTTTGTTGGTTGTCTTGGCTCAGGTTTTCAGCCTTGCAACAAGAAAAGCTATTTTCTATGTCAGAAATATAGAACATACTGCATAATTCAAGACCAAAGAGAGGAAAGGGCAGAAGAAGTGACTTCTCAAGACGAGTTTAATTGAAACACACACAACAAATAAACAACTGGAAAATTAGGTAGAACATATTTTTTGGAAGGCATGTTTTGATCATTTCATAACTATTACTAAAAAGTCCACACACTTTTAAACACTGCAATTTGAACCTGGTGCAATATGTTAATGTAAGACCAAAAGAGACGGGGGTTACTGAGACATGAAGGAAACCCCCACCGCAAACACTCACCTACACACAAACAAACAACAAGCACTTGTGAGAATGGGTGTGTGTGTACACAGACACACACAAAGTATGCTGTGTACAGACAGTGGATTGGGATGGGCACAGAGAGCCCACTGCAGCAGAGAGTATAGAAGACTGCATTAGCATTCCCCATTTAGCCACTATGAGGCTGTTTCTGTGGCAACCTGCTGCCGAGCGGTAACTAGGCGACAGGAACATGGCTGTGTGTGTATGGTCTGCCTGTGTGCTATTGGCTTATTGATGAAGGGGAGGAGAAGGACTCCAGTACACCAGTAAAAGAAAAAAAAAAAAACATGGTGAGAGAGGCAAACAATGAAAAACAGTCTATAAATCTTTTTCCTGTGTACTTGGCCTACTCTCTTTTCTCAGTGTTGATGCCGTAGGTAGGAACCTAATGACTCTAAGTGGGGAGCCTTCACAGCACGACCTGGTGACATTTGCGCTTTACGGTATCTTGGCAGTCACGGCTCAGGGCTCCACAGAGAGCTAATGTCACAGTGAGACCTCCTATTAGCCACTGTAAAAGAGGTCAAGTAACTTCTATCACTGAACAGAAAAGCATAATGTCACTGGCTGGTAAATTAATGCTCTCAGTGACAACATGCTGCACTGTGAATAATGGACTTAAAGGACAACAATGAGGTCCCTGCCTTCGATTCCTGTGTGCGCTGTAGACTGCCTAAGTGAGCACGCTGTCAGATCAGCAGATCACTCTCGTATCAAACAGGGAAGCTGCCTACAGTGTTTGCTGTGCTTCTTACTACGTGGAATCCACCTTCAACTTCAACTATACACATCGCAGCTTGTGGAGGCTAGAGAGGTGAGGAGCTGCGAGCTGGCTCTAGACTGAGCGCTCGTGTCAGGAGAGGAGTCAGGGGGCCGAGATAAGTCGCAGCGCTACAACCTGCCTTGGTACAAGGCTATGGTCTTCCTTTCCCTCTGGCTGACATGTGGGGAGAGACATGGACAGAGAGATGGAGAGAAAGAGAGAGGGGGGAATAGTTAGCAGCGGGCTGACATGTCTTTGTTCAGACCCAGTGCTGCAGTGTGCTGCAGTGCAGATGATGTCATCTCCACCTGCTGCCTGCTGCTCCAAATGCGATGCACGTCCACTGCAGAGGGAGGATGGGGGTAGAGACGAGTGGGAGGGAAGAGGGAGGAGACAGGGAAGGTGAGCAGCCAAACAGCACTATAACAACATGGTGACGTTGTTACCGCCCTCCCTCTCTCTGGTTTACTCCCTTGTGACGGTGTGTGGTAGCAGACGTGGTCACTCTCACACATTCGGGGCAGACTGTTACGTGTCGTTTCAATATGCTGTTGGGTGCAAAAATGAGGCAGACCACTTATTTTATTAGAGAACTTGAATGAATGGTGTTTAATCAAGTGATGTGTGAACTTACAGCTGTCATGATAAATGCAGGCCTTCCAAAGCCGGACTAAGTTTGTGTGGGTGAATCCCAGTCCCTCTGGTGTGGAGTAATATGAATTTTCCCCATGCTTTGGTGCTGTATTCCCCTGCTGCAATTGGACCCTTGCTAACTTTTCCCATCCATATTGAAAAATACAAAAAGGAAAAAAGAACTCTTCACTTCACGCTGAATAAAAAAGCTAAACTGATTTTCATGCTCTGTCTCACACTTTTTTGTGTACCTGAACTCATTTCTAGTGTGAGTTATCCCGTGGAGTGTTAAGTATTATCCAGTGAGAGTTACAGTATTTTAATGAGAATAGCTAACAGAGTTAAAGAGTTGACATTCTCTGAACAGTCTGTTAGATAAACCAAGAGTGTGCTTTTTAAAATTACATTAAACACACTGCTAAATGTCTTGTCTCCCTTAGAAGAAAACCTCTCACCTCTGGAACAAAATCGTGAAGAGGATGGGAAAATACCTTTTAATGGAGTCACAGTTGCCTTGGCTAAAAAATTTGATACTACACACCAAGACTGTTAAAGAGGTCTTGAACTTTAATGACCAATAACACAACTGAATAATTCTGCCTATGGGACAGACGCTCATTAGAATAAATTACTAATGTTGTCATTGTGCAACCCACCAGACACTGGTCTGTAACCTGTTCCTGTAATATATATTAAGAGGTTCTGTAAGGAAAGTCATGAGCCTACTGTGAGAAATCTTCCAATTCATAAAAGTACAAGAGCCACAGGAGTACTGCAATATACTTTCTGCATGTTATAACTAGTGCCTGATCTCTGCAGAGTCAGTAAGGTTCCTCAGCTTGTGACGACTGTTATGTGTCACTGTGGCTCTGCTGTTGCTTCGTATTAGCATCTTTCACAACACACTCATGTCCTCTGAGAGAAGTGAAGAGCAGAGGACCTATAAAATAAATGTGTGCTGGGTGTTTCAGTCCACACAAAGTCAAAGGCCTGCCCTGTGTGATCTATCTCATGTCTGGCACATGGCAGCAGCTCCTCATGAGACAGGATGATATACGTGGGGATAAGGAAAGGAAGGACAGGGCTGCTTATTGAGACACAGTGGAGCACAGTGGGAGTGAGAACAGGCTGAAGGGAGGAAGAAGACAGCAGGAGAGATAATAGTAAGGACAGGACAAGGGTGATGTGAGATGAGAGGACAGGAGGAGGGTGATGGAGAGGGGGTAAGAAAAAGAAGCGGGGGGAGGGTAGGAGTTAGAGATCATCAAGAGAACTGTTGTCAATGAGACAGGCTGGAGAATATAGTTGTTGGGTCAAGTTAGAGGACAGAGAAGGGCAGCTTGTCTGTCGCCACTCAGAAATGTCAAGGATGAGGGCAAGAGAACAATTACTAGAGCCTGAGTGTCTTAGAGACATCTCAATGCTCGTGCACACACTTGGACACCTTTTATTTCACCCCTTGACCACTAAGATATTGAGTCCAAGATCAAGAGGCCTGATGAGCATAACATCAAAACAAAGCAGAGGGTAGGTTCTTGGAAAAACAACATACACTGAAAGTCATGTTAGAACAACTAAGGGTCTGTTTGTTTTCTGGTTTTAAATTAAGAATCCCTCCTTAATCACGTTCTTAATTGTCAAACGCAATTTGTTATTAAAAAGGCACACTCATCTTTTATTCTGAAAGGGTTTACAGCTATTCATACGGTGATAGCCTGAGGAAGACATCTTTAATCCTCACTTCTCAACCTCTGGTTCTGTTCATGCCAATCAAGTTCAGTACTGGACCTCATTATCTTTCCACAGCCAGTCAAATTTTAACATGTAACTCAGTGGAAAGACCAGAGGCCAGCCTCCCTCTGGGTCTCTGTGGGAGCTGATTGACAGGGGCTGGTATTTGTAACCATGCAGAGGAAGGGGCCAGGCCATCTGGCAGCAGCCCTCACAGCTGGAACACATGGCTATGTGTTGATCAAAGACAGACTGTACTGTGACACAGTGTAATGACCAGTTGTGGTTTTGTTCTGCCTACTACTCTTCCCTGCTTTTAATTCTTGTTAGAGGAGTGATAACAGAGAATTTTAACAGCTCAAGGAAGAAGACTATATGTGGCACAGACATCTGTCTTTCACAGAATCTGTTATTGTCGCATCAAATTTGTGGAGGATGCAATCTATCCATCCATCTGCTGTGCTGCTTATCTGGTTCAGGGTCACAGGGAAGGGCAAGAGACAGGGTACATCCTGGACAGGCCATCAATCCATCACAAGGCTGACACACACAGACAAATGCATTCACACTCCCTCTTACTCAGTTTTCGATTTGCTTAACCTATAAGCCTCGACTGCTGTAAGAAGCTAGATCACCTCGAGGAAACCTCTGAGACAGGAGCACATTCAAAT